CTCTCTCTCTCTCTCTCTCTCTCTCTCTCTCTCTCTCTCTCTCTATTGGCTGTTCAGTTATTATCTGTATCCACGCCCAGTCCCATACAGTGCATCACATTTTTCTCTGGCTTGTGCACCCAAAGCAAAACAGCCTCCTACTACTGCCTGTTGCAGAAGCCAAGTTCTGTGCTTGTGGTACTGAACCCTGCTTCCAAGCTCCAAGAGAGAAAGAAACATTTCTGACTAGCCTGAAAATTGCTATTAGCATGCTCATAACATTTGCAAATCTTTACTAAGACAATGACCATAATCAACTCTCAGATTCCTGAGTGTTGAGTAGCTGCCTGCAGGGAAGGAGTTTTCTTCTCCTGATATGCAACTGGCCAGATGTATTAATCAGTTTTGGGGTTTGTGGGCTTCTTGCTCACCTTGCTCTGAAGCATCGTATATCAGACACAGCTGGAGAGGCAACACTGGCTGGGGTGGACTAGGGCTCTAGGGCCATACAGGAAAATCTCTTTCTTTCTACTTCAGCATGTTTCATGCTTGTGAGGCTTCCTTAAATGTCCAGGGTCAGACCGACTGCTAGATTCTATGTAGGTAAGGAATCTTTCCTTAGGTCAAACTGACTGGAACTGGGGTGTATGGGAAGAGGGGATGGGGTAGCTTCCTCTACAATATCAGCTTGCAGCCTCATCACCTGGGCTGAAATCTAGAAGACAGTTGAAAATCTGCCTTTTTTGGATTAAAAACACATTTTTCACCCAAATCTTAAACATTAAAAATGTGTCATCTGGTGAACAGTTCTAAGGGGGACAGCTTGGAAATAAAATTTTCCAAGTTTTGTTTTTAAAGTCTACTGTGATTTTTATTATTAACTGCTTGTCATTTTCTGAACATAGGGATTTAATACTGTGAGTTCCTCTTACTGACATTCTATTTTTAGAATCATTAAGGGCAGCTGCTATTTAACACTGATGGAGACATCTCCTCTTCCTTCCTGGGTTCCCATGTCTAAGTGTCAGATTGTTTTGTTGCAGCAGAAACAACAGAGCAGAAGCACTTAGACCAGCGATTGTCAAACTGGGTGTTGTGACACCCCGGAGTACCTTGATAGCCTTTTGAAGGTGCTGCAGGCTGCCACACAATATTGGCACTGTTAGATGTGCAAACATTATTCACAAGATAAACCTAAAGATTTCCAATGGGAATCCATCGTGTTAACAACATTCTAGCCTGGCGTGGTATGAGTTATTTGCAACAGAACTGTTCTGTTATTTTTCTATATTAAAAAAAGAGTGAAAACTAAGAGCTGGCATTTTCCGAGGGGGACCTCTAGTCTATCAAGGGGGGCCTTAAGTCGAAAAAGGTAGAGAACCACTGGTTTAGGCACTCAGATCTGGAAAGAAAGCTAAAACCTTCCAAGCAGTCCTAAGGGTGTTGTTTGTAAGGGTGCTCGTGAAAGCAAGCAAGGGTGGGAATTTAAATGAAGGACTTCATTAGGCACTGGCTCCCCAAACGGACACACTTATACCACATGAAGGTGATCTGCACAATTTATATTAGTCCACTTCCAAAGTGGACTAAGTGAACTCTGCCATGTTTTTCTTCCCAGCCAGATGAGCCTGATGTGGGTGTAAAAATACAGACATGTCCCCCAAACTGGAGATTCTGAGCTGTGACCGGCCCTGCACACCTCACCCAACTGAACCTCTGACACTTCACCCTGGCAGTTAAGCACCATGCTTTGCACTGTCCTCTCTCCCAGGTTTCAGCATGCTCCCAGGCCCACCCATCTACTCTCCAGTACCTGCCACCACTTACAGTGGGAATTATCTCTCTCTCTGTCCTGTGGAACACAACCTGGAGCATGTTCTGCTGACTACTGCAGCTCTGATCTCAGTCATGCCTGCCTGGGCAGTTCAAGCATGGAATATGGCAGGAGTACAAAGCAGCCCTCCCTCCTTGGTGTTGTAGGCAAAGCAAGGCCCTTTAGGACCTCTCCACGTAGGCACTCACCAGTTTTCCTTCCAGAAAAGCCCTGGTTTCAGTGTAGAGGGCTTTGATGCTCATGGACATGTCCACCGCTGTGTTTCTGCTCAGGAACTGAGTGGGAGTGGGGGCCAAAAAGAGAGGAAAAGAGAAAATGTTAGTCATTTCATCAGGTCCGCAGGCAGCAGGTCTCAGGGGCAAGACCTGAGAGAGAGACAGCTCCATCCTGACTCACATGCCTGGGTCTCCTTTTAGAAATCATCCTCTCCTATCCCCTGCCCTCACACCTTCCACTGAGGGCATCTGCCCCACCCCAGTCACTATAGCAGGATGAAGCCCTGAAGCCCTGCCCATTTCACTGCTGTTATTAGCAGCAGGAACCAGGAACGTCTTCCTCCAGCTCCATAGAGCCATGTTCTTCCTCCCTCCCCACTCCAGCTAAGACTTGAACAGTAACTTACGGTCAAGCCAAAGGCTCCAGACTGTCAGCTGCCTCTTCAGCCCATGGCATGCTCAAATGCTTCCCTCCCTCCACTCTGGGCTCCAGTTCAAGACCCTGATCCTAATATTTAAAGCCTCTGGTAGGCTGGGACCAGGTCATCTTCCGCAATCCAGAGACCCATCTTCAGCAGGAACAAGCAAAGAATCTGCCCAAGCAGCCAAGGCAATACCCTTTCAGGGCTGGGCAGGGGGCTTAGAGGAGAGACCAGAACTAGCTATGGCCTAAGCACATCACAAACTCCATAGTTTGATACAACTATCACACAGTCCAGCAGCTGAAGGTAAGACAGGCTCAAGAGACGGCAAGCAGGCCCTGCTCTGGCTGTCACTACTGCAGAAAGAAACGGTCCTTTTCTGGGTACTGGACATTTTGACAGGCCTCCAGCAGGCAGCTCGGTCACTACCATTCAAGCAGGTCTGAGACTAGAGGTGCACTGATACATTGGTCTGATATAGGATCGGCACCAATATAAAGAAAATCGAGTGTACTGGAAATCAGCCTGATGTGGCTAATTTGGCTAATAAATGCCCATGCATATGTGCAGCCGCAGCGCAGCACATAGGCAGCAGGGAGCACAGCCCCGCAATGTGGAAAGCTGTTGGTAAATCTATTGTGGTGGATGAGGAAGGGGGAGGAAAGGGGTGTGGGAGGGAAGATCAAGGTCCCTGTGGCGAGGGAGAGAGTGGGACTGGGGCTGGGGCAGGGCAAGGATGGAGCCACGGCTTATCCGGAGGGGCGTGAGGTGGCTCCCACCACTGTGCACACCCTGGGAGTGCATGGCCAGGGGCGTGTGCCACTGGGTCTGTGTTGGGCACAGATGGGACACGGCAGGCTGCAGCTCCGAGCTGGGGCCAGGGCTGCACTGGGCTCTTCCTGGCATGTAGGGAGGGGGGGACGTAAGCCAGGGCAGTGCTTAGGGTGGGTGGTAGCAGTGCTAGGAGTGTGGCTGTGGGGGCTACAGTGAATTCTGGGGTGGCTGCAGCCCCCTGCCATAACCCCCTCCCAGTGCCACTGCTACCTGTCCCAAGCAGAGCCTGCCCCAGCCCCCTGCCTGGAAGAACCCGGTGCCGCCCAGTGCCACTGCTACCTGTCCCAAGCACAGCCTGCCCCAGCCCCCTGCCTGGAAGAACTCGGTGCTGCTCCAGCCCCAGCCTGCAGATGCAGCCCACCCTGCCCGCACCTCGTGCAGACCTGGGTGCATGCAGCGGCGGGAGCCACCCCCTCATCCTGGACAAGCCACGGCTCTGTCTCACACCCTGCCCTGCCCTGGTTGGGCAGCCCCAGCCCCACTCCTCCCTCACGGCAGGGGCCTTGATCTGCACCCCCATGGCCCTTCCCTCCCCCCACCTTCCACCACAACAGACTTGCCAACTGCACGCAGCTCTCCATGCTGTATCAGAAATCAGATCAGTATTGGCCAATATGCCTCGTTAAAAATTGACTATTAGTATTGGCCCTCAAAATCTCTATCGGTGCACCCCTATCTGAGACTGTTCAGCAGCTGGTGGCAGCGGCTGGACCAAATACACTCCCCTCCACACACTAGCAGGTCTCAGTTCATCCAGCAGAGGGCAGCAGCAGCACGCACCCACACATTCTGTCCAGCCAGCAAGAACAAGACAGGTGCATTAGCCAGTCTACTCCAGTCTGCTTTTCTGCCGGCTAACACCAGCATGTTCTTGTCATGGTTAAAGCTGGTCCAAAACATGTCAAAAATATTATCCCTGGCAGAAAAAGATCTTTCCACTAATGGGCAGTCATACCCACCATTCCTGCTTTGCACAGCACAGTTCTGCTTTGCATAATATATAAAAATAACTGAAGGTGTCTTACAAAGGAACACCCTCCCCCCAGTTTTGCTATTTAAAACCAAAAAAATCCATTTTTAGTTGCTAATTTTCAGTGTTCTGCCAAAAACAGGAAAAAATGTACAAGGCAAAGTAGTTAATTTCCATCAATGTCTTCCATGGGGAGAAGAAAATGAGTCTTTCTCCCCCACTCCCAACCCCTGCCCCCAAGCAGTGAATCATGGGGCAGGGGAAACAAAGAAGAAGTTTTAAAATGAATTCTTGGCATGATGCCCTGTGATACACATGCTAGTTTCCAGGATTAGCCACGATGAAAGACCGATCTGCAGAGATCAGCAAGGGGGTCCCACAAGAACCCGCCACCCAGGGACAGGGATCAGAGCCTCTCCCCTGACTGAGCAGAGACAGGGAGAAGTGGCTTTTGCGTGGGAGCCAAAGATGGATGCTGCTGCTCCATGCAGACAGACCACCTCCTGCATTTGTATTCCATCACCAGAGCTGCATCTCTGCCTGGCCTGTTCTGGTGCGTGTCTATTTATAGCTCCCTGTTCTATTTATTTACTGTCTCTCACTCTAATATCCATTTAACCTTTGGCTTTCTCCTTAATCTAGCTTCTGTCTCCCTGAGTAGCAGCTGCCTGCTGCTTCTATTCATCTGATCAGCCCCATTCTAGCTGTGTCTGTCGGGATCCCAGGCCAACCAGGCCCACCTCACCTCAGGGCTGCTGCTGGTCTTGCTGGGCAGGGCCTCATTCAGTGCCAGGGAGCTGGCATTCACAGCATGGGCCAGCTCTTGTTCAATGGCTTTGTGGGTCTTGGCTGCCTCACGGATCCTGCAGGCACAGAAAGGAATGTAGCTGATGGGAACTTGCCATCTCTTCCTCCCCTCCGCTGAGGAGACTCGGACCTGGCTAAATGCTCAGAAGCCCTGTACACTGGGAGGGGATTACGAGGGAGGAAACCCCATCCATGGAACTGATGCCATCTTCTGCATGCTGTGGGGCCACTCCAGAGTTTGAGGGCTCAAGGCCCTCCCTGGACTGATGGTTCCTTGTGATCAGTCAGCTCTCCTGGGCATGGGTGGGGTTGGGTGCCAGCTAGGAGAGCAGGGAGTCCAGAGAAACATCAGCCACAGCTCGGGAACTAAACACGTGCCTGGAAGCAGACTCAGGCCCCTGTCCATTCCAACCTCCCTCTGCACATCCCCCATCCTGAGATGGGAGGAGAACAGACCTCTCCTTTACAGCGCTCCGACACAGCTCCTTCACCATCCATGTGGAAGCGCTGTGGAGCAGCAGGAGCTGCCCCGTCCTCAACCCCAGGCCAATGCCACATGCCCCCCTGCGCTGCACTGTATCTCCCAGCCTCACCTGGTAATGAGCGTTTCTGCAGCCTGGGCAAGCTGCTGCATGTGGCCATACTCCTCATCGGTCAGGTACTCCATGGACTGCTGGGAATTGAGGCGGGGTCGCGCTGTGGTTCTGTAGCTCTCGCCTTTCTGCTTGTCCTCCCATGACTTCAGGGTGCTCTCGAAGGCCTGTGCAGGGAGGACATGCCTGCTGTCAGCAGCAAGCAGGCGGGTTGGGCCCTCCACCGGGGCACCCTCAGGTCCCCCATCCCAGCACTAGAGACTCCCTTGGCTCCCACAGCAGGGGGGCAGCTGTGGCTCTGCAAAAGCCTAGGCCAGTTTCTGCTTCTCCCCACAGGGCCTGAGTCATAATAAATAAGGGTAAGCAGAAAGGCTGGACTGGGGTGTGTCAGTACTTAGGAACCTCCCAGGTGCCTAGCCTGAGGGCCCTGCTCTTCTGCTCAGAGTCAAGTTGACCACCAAAACCAGACTAAAGAAAGAACCTTCCTCCAGGGGAGGTTGGCTGGGACTAGGGTTTCTGTCTTGCTCTGCATCCTGGGACATGGGTCTCTCCCTAGGATCTTGAGAGCACATATTAACCGATTCCTGTTCTACAGAGCCAAAGCCAGGCATTTCGGTGCCTGGTGCAGGTCATGTGCAGAGCACCCGCTACACTCCCTCCACAGGCCAGACTGGATCCGGCCCACAGAGGGGCTTTGTCCAACCTGTGGCAGGCCCTTTGGCCCGCCTGCCCCAGGTACTGTCAGGCGATGGCGCATCCTGCCGCTCCCTGGGCACACAGCAGGGCTGGGGCAGTTCTGCAGCTGGACTGCCTTTCTAGGCAGAACAGGTGGCAGCAGCTTCTTGCATCTGCCACGGCTGCTGGCTGTAGCCCCACGGTACTGGTGGGGACCTGCCCCGTGCCTGCTCCAGACTCACCCACAGTGGCAGCAGCAGTGCTAGCCAGGCAGAAACTGCTGCTCAGCATGGGAGAAAAGTGGCCCCTCTCTCTTGTTGCTGCCCGTTACTCACTGCTGCAGCTGCCTGGAGCCTGTGCTGGGCTGCCTTGCTGCCACCACTGCCCCACAGGGCATCCCAGGCAAAGGTGACCATGGCGGAGCTGCAGGACAGCCCAGCATGGGCTCTGGGCTTCTCTAACAGGGAGCACCAGGCAGTAGCGAAAGGGAGTGGCTGCTTTTCCCCCTCATTGAGCAGCAGTTTCTGCCCAGCCGGTGCTGTTGCTCCCACTATTTAGCATGGAGCAGTTGAGTCTGGAGCAGGTGCACCAGGTGGGGGCTGTGGTGCAGGTCCCCACCAGTACCATGGGGCTGGGGCTAACAGCAGCGGCAGATGCAAGAAGCTGCCATTGCCTTGTCTGCCTAAAAAGGCAGTCCAGCTGTGCAGCCACCTCAGCCCCACTGCAGGTGGCAGGACACACCACAGGCGGGCAGTATGGAGCAGGTATGGGGCACACCAGGTTGGGGCTGTGCCCAGGTTCCAGTTGATCCAATTCTGCCAGGGAGAGTCCAGAGCAGGCATGGGGTGGGGCCAGGGCTGTGAGCTGCTGGCGGAGAGGTGCTGCAGGGTGAGCTGGCTCCGGGCTCATGTGTGGCAGGGGCAGGTGATGCCCAGCTCGAGGGGGCACATGCAGGGGCTCCCATGCATACCCCACCATACCCCACTTGTTCAAATTCGCAGACCACACTAAGATGTGGGGGGAGGTGAGCACGCTAGAAAGGAGAGACAGGCTACAACTAGATCTAGAAAGGTTACAGGGGTGGGAGGATGAGAACAGGATGGGATGCAATACTGACAAGTGCAAGGTGCTGTACCTGGGGAGGAAGAACCAGCAGCATACCTACAGCCTGTGGAACTCCCTTCTCATCAGCGCAGAGGCAGAAAAGGATCTTGGAGTCATTATTGATTCCAAAATGAACATAAGCCTCCAATGTGAGGACACGGTCAGTAAGTCTAACAGCACCTTTTGCATCACGAGCAGGTCCAAGGTGATCCTCCCCCTCTATACAACATTAGTCAGGCTGCAGTCGGAGTACTGCATCCAGTTTTGGGTGCTCCACTTCAGGAGTGATGTGGACAGCATCGAGAGGGTGCAGAGGAGGGCCATTCACATGGTCAGGGGGCAGCAGGGCAGGCCTTACCAGGAGAGGCTACGGGACCTGAACCTGGTCAGCGTCCACAAGAGAAGGCTGAGAGGGGATCTAGTGGCCATCTATAAACTTATCAGGGGGCACCAGCAGGGAATGGGGGAGTCCCTGTTCTCCTGAGCACTACCAGGGGTAACTAGAAATAATGGCCACAAGTTGATTGAGAGTAGGTTCAGGCTAGACATCAGGAGGCACTACTTCAGTCAGGGTGGCTAGGATCTGGAACCAACTTCCAAGTGAAGTGGTGCTCACTCCTACCTTGGATGTCTTCAAAAGGAGGCTAGACAGACACCTAGCCAGGGTCGTTTGACCCCAGCATCTTTTCCTGCCCATTGCAGGGGGTGGACTTGATGATCTGCTCAGGTCCCTTCTGACCCTACCAACTAAGAAACAACTATGAAACTATACCCACAAACACTCCTGTGCAAACACCACAACTACACCCTCCCCTACACACAATCACACACCCCACAAACACTGCACTCTCCACACTCTGCCCTACACCCCCCACAAAACCCATACCTCTCCCCACATGCAACCCCCCCACACACACACACCAGTGCATCTCTAGGGGGAGACCCACTTGCTGCTACACGTACACACCCCACCACACACATGCAACCACACTCCCTCATGCACACTCCACACCCCCCCACAAACACATCGCCTACACCCCCATAAACACTCACCCACATCCACACACAGCCCCTCCCCCACACCCCAGCAATATACAAGAGTAAGACTTCCTTTTGAGCTATTATGCAATCACCTCTATATACATGTTGCAAACACACACAAATCAGGACAAAAATGTCTTTTTAAATAAAATTAAAATAAGTTATTGTGGATGTTTGATTTTTTAGTATATATGGGTTACCATATTTCCAGGTCCAAAAAGGAGGACACCTATCATGCAGTAGGCGAGGAGGGGGGATATGTCTGTAGGTGAGGCAGTGACATGCCAGTGCCCTGCCCCTGCCCCTCCAGCCTTACTGCTGCCCCTCACTCCTAACCCACTAACCCCAGCCCTGCCAGTGCCCTTCACTCCCAAACTACAGTACTCTGCTGCCCTGGGCCATGCTGGTGCCTCTCATTCCTGAATCACAGTCCCCCTGACACTGCCAGTCATCTGTCCCGTCTCCCTCACCCCCACCCCGTGCCCCTCACTCCTGATATGAGGGTTTGAAGCAAAGGAGTTTTAGGACTCTCAGGTTAATGGCTACCTGCAAAGGCAAGAGACTAGACTCAGTGACTCAGAAGAGCCTGTCCAGTCCTGTGTTCCTGTCACTGCTCCTGCTGCAGGAAGACAGCCACCTCCAGAGGGCAACAAGGTAGGTGTATAACCTCTCAGGACAGAAAGTGAAGAATATTTAGAAAAGTCAGATGTGGTTACCCCAACTGGAATCAAGTTAATAATCCAGTCAGTTCTGGTGGTGAGCGAAATGCTGTATGTTCTTAAAACATATCAATTAGTTGCTGCTTTGGACTGATCTGAATGACAGCCCTTCTGTCGGTAAAGCATTCTCAGTATCAAACAGGGCATTGGCACATCCTGGCTTGCATCCAAGTGCTGGATAGGTCCAGCCCTGCTTAGCTTACAAGACCCAACAGGGTCACAGCACCAAACAGTACAGACACAGGGTGTGTGACACCAGGATATGTTCTGCAGCACTGTGCTCCCAAGGAGAGCTGCACCTAGGTCTCACCCTGTCCCGCGTTAGCATCTGGGCTCGGTTCTTGTGCTGGATTTTGATGATCCCTGGGGGCTGGATCCAGGCTTCTCCATCCACTTGCACTGGGACACCCTCGTCACCCCGGATGGTGATCTTAACCATTCGACACTGCCAGGCAAAGAGAGAACAGAAGGCTGGCACTGAATGGCAAGTCAGCAACCCCAACCCAGCAGAGGGCTCAAGAGCAAGAACTCCCC